CCGGGCAAGTCCGAGACAAATTAGATCGCTTTCGGGCCTACTACCTTAGCTGGTCAAGGTGCTCCCAGAGCACTATAAAGAGGGCTACTCTGGGGCTCAAGGTGCTTCGTAAGGGGCAGTCCGATTAAGGCAGCGTATGTGGAGAGAGAGGGCGGGAGTCAGACGAGTCGGGCAGAAAATTAAGACCGGACGCTGAATTCTACTTTCAGACTCGCGGGGAAAATTATTAAACCTTGCCAAGTCTGAATTTTCAGACCACCGCGTCTGAAATTGTTTTCAGACCACAAGGTCCGTATTTTTAGACCTGCGGTCCAAATATTCGGACTCCAGTCTGAAAACGAGATTCAGACGGACAAGTCTGACACTTTCGGTCTGAATTTTCAGAATTTTTTTAACAGTGCGCCGACTGACAGGGGCACGCCCGCGCGCAAGGCTCTATGCAGATTGCATAGCAACGATTTGTCCTGGGATCAGTGGGTCACCTGGCTCATAGTGTGCACGGTATGTATTCTCGAGGCAACAACTGAGCGATTCTCACGTTTCGGGGTAGTTTCGTTTCTTCTGACTCCTGTGCCCAAACGAGCGCAGATATCGACATGGGGTTTGTTTCTGATGTTAGGGGGGGCCATTGCCCACTAAACGCACACATTTCGAAAAGTTCACGTTCGTTGGATTGGTCTACGTAGCGTTTAGAATACCCCAAATGTAACTTCCGTGATTGTCCAAAGAGAACATACTCGAACTTCCCGCCCCCAGTGTGGCGGTGGGGTTCGAAAATGCTGCCAACTGTCGATGGGGATTCGAAGCTTGGCATGTCTCGAGCTGATTTCAACCGAAGACCAATACGCCAGACTTCTTTCAAAGGTACTTATGCTGTAACGAAAAATGTCCTCCGTATATTCAATTTCACTACACAAATTTCGAAAAGGCAGCTCTGGACTTCTCCCCAAGCCAAACTTTTAACTTTCCATACCACAAGCCATCAAAGTGGAGTCCCTGGGATATAATTGCATGGGTCGCGGAAATCTAAGATGCTGTACACGGTCTCAAAGCGGGCTAGAGCATTATAAAATGGCGTGTATCAACAATTACCTGTAACTTCCGTGGCACCCTTTACCCAATGTTGCAGCAGCACTAGGTGAAAAAATTTTCCGCTTTAATGTCGGGCTCAGAGTATCATTTGACCCTGGAACGACTTTTAAGCCACAGCAAGCCCGAGTCAGCCGTTAAAGCCGATTTTCACACTTTGTAACTTCCGTGATAACGTAATTTCCGTGATCAAAACACCCACTAAAACGTATGGGAATACCTTATGGCTCATGTTTTTAGGAAGGTAGTACAAGGTCTTTACTATAAATACCATTGCCATAACTCTAGTATCATCCAGGACCCCAATAATCAGAAAAACTGAATTGGATATTTCTCACTTTCGGCAAATCAGAGACGCCAAAACTACCCCGAAACGTGAGAATCGCTCAACTATTTAAATTTCATTACCCCAAAATTTGAGGCTCAAATACAGCCGTTAAACATGTTGTAATCATAATTTGACGAACAATCTCTAATACGCTGTTAAACGCTTGGGGCTGTAACTATCTCCAAGTAACGGTTTCTCTCTAACACTAATGTGAGACACTGTAAATACTATTAAGTACTACTTGCAATCCTTACTCGTGATTATGTCGACATTAACCCCAACATCGTCGGCTAAAGACGACAATCACCGTGCAGGTTCGGATAATGTTACACTCTCTGCACGTTATTGACTTTTTGCTCATATTGTCAGTACTTATGCAAGTAATTTGAGCAACCATAACACGTACTTTTCGTTTTATAGAGGACTACTTAGGAAATATAAAATAATGTACTGGGAATTCCGTTCTGTACACTGCAGGAAATAACCACAACAAAAGTACACAAATTTCTGGCAAATTTTTTATCAGGTTTTTATTGTACTTTCTAAGTACAACAATTGTTGTACAAAGTACAATGGAACCGGCATGACGAGTGCTGGGCAGTCCCGGCCTCGTTGTGGTTTGTACAATTCTCGTTGTACTTTCTACAATCCCTGTTGTACTTTCATTGTACAGTTTTTGTTGTACATTTGTTGTACTATTCACACTTTTTCTTGCAGTGTACATAATTTTACAAAGGAAATGATTCATACTTACTTAGGAAATACTAGGCATTATTGCTGTTTATACGAATACGTAATAAATGAGGAAAAAGTCAGAAACGTGCTGAGAGTGTATCAATAATCTGTGCCATGGCACTGTGGCTGGCACAGTGGTATTGTTGTGATACTCGTTGCTGGGGTGCCGCCACTCACTTCCGGAATACTTTCCCAATACTACATTTAGGCAATTTCGAATCACAATCGACCTCCCGTATCCCGACCAAGACAAATTCTACGAAAAATCGAACGAAGTTTTAAATTCTAAGCGGGCGGACAAAAGTTCTTTCCTCACCGAAGAAAAATACACCGAAATTGTGAAAGAAGTGGCGACTGGCAAAATGTGCTGTAATCAACATGGCGGGGAAGGACACCCTAATTCTACCGATGGCTGGAATCACTGCAAAGCCAAAGGCAATACTTTTGGTACCTTTTTTGGCGATACAATTGAGTATCGCCAATAAACGGCCTTACGGAAAGGTATTGCCTTCAAACCGGCGATACACAAAAGTATCGCCAAAATTTGGCGATACTTCGGAGTATTGCCACGATCGAGGGGTCGACAACTACCTCGAGCCGTGTACGAGGTGGTATATATTACCGGTAATATAAGTAATATAGGGTAATATAAGGTAATATACGGAAATAAAACAACGGTAATATATGATAAAAGAAGATGAGAACGTGACACAGTATCCTTGACTAAGGCTAAAATCAGGAGTTCTGGCTAGAATTTTGGTATTATGCAGACCTTACCCTCGTTTCATGACAGCGCCCCCTGTCAGATAAAAGGTATGCAACCCGATGCAACCTATCTGACAAAAGTATGGCGCGTAGCTTCAAGTCAGATTGAACACGGACATCAAATCCGAATTTCTTCCTGTCGCAAGGAGAAGCCTAATAGCTTTAACACCTTGATACCAAGGTTCAGTACGGCAAGTTTAACGTTAGTTTAGGTTAGAAACAAGCAAATCACAGAAATATGTGGTAATATAGTGGTAATATAGTGGTAATATAGAGGTAATATACGGTAATATAGGGTAATATACGGTAATATACGGTAATATAAGGTAATTTAGAGGTAATATAAGCTCTGCGTATGAGGTAATATGGGAGTTGTCGACCCCTCGGCCACGATTTGGCATTTAACGTTGAACAAATCAAGGGGACAAGTCCTTAGTTCAATGCCGCGGTTTTGGCAATACCCAAGGGTATCACCAAATTTTGGCGATACTTCTGTGTATCGCCGTTCAGAGGGCAATACATTTCCGTAATGCCGTTTGTGGGCGATACTCAATTGTAACACCAAAAAATGTACTTAAGTATCGCCTTTGCATTTGCAGTGAACGCGCGACAAGATAATACGGTACGTCAAAAACGAAGACCTCTACCGAGAGCTGTACGAGATCCAAAAGGCTAGCGGCCACGGCGAGTGGAACAAGATGGCAGAAGAAAACTGCTGAGACAGGCAGATAGGAAGTTAGCTAAATCCAACAGCAGCATTCCACCAGTGTCTGTTGGCGACAGTCTTTATCCCCGTTCCAGACGTGGACAGGGCCAAGGGAAATCCCAAAAATATTATAGCCGTTGTCACTGAGGTCACGGACGACGACCTATACCGAGTTGGCAACAGTGACGGCACCATCGAGGGACTCATGGCTAGAAATCAGTTCACTAAGGCTCCGGAAAACATATTGGACATAGATAAAGTTCCACTCCAAACCTGTCTACTAAGTACACACTTCCAAATGCAACCTTGCAAGTACACACTTACAAACGTATGCTTGACGCCGTATAACTCCATGCGTGAAGCATGCGTTTGTAAGTGTATACTTGCAAGCATGCATTTATAAGTGTGTACTTAGTAGGCAGTTAGGTTTGTAGTGAAGTGACATCAAAACATCACTTCGCCGACTGGCAGGCTGTGGCGGACCTCAGGGGGTGCAGGGAGTCCAAAAATGCAATTGCTTGCAGAAATGTTTGAACAACCGGTGCGGCTGCCGAGCTGCCGGCCGTCCCAGACAAAAAGATTTCGCGCCCGTTACGGGCACAGCCTGAGCAAATCTGGGCACAGCACGGGCAGGTACGGGCGCATCATCCGAAGGCGGGTCGAGGCTCGAACCCGTATGCGGGCAAATGCGGGCAAGTACGGGCAGACGCGGGCGGATGCGGGCAGGCACGGACACAGATGCGGCTACATCCGGAGCGCCTTGAGGTTTGTGCCCGAGACCCATTCGTGGACGAGCTCGGAAAAGCTAAACACGAGTAATAGAAGCCTGGAGCAGTGCGTGGAGCACTGGAAGATATGAACCATCTCGTGCCGGGTGAGCATGGAGGTAGTTTGGGTTGCCTAAGCAAGCCGTATCACCCGGTACCTAAGGCAACCCAAACTACCTCCAGGCTCACCCGGCACGAGATGGTTCATATCTTCCAGTGCTGCACGCACTGCTCCGGGCTTCTATTACTCGTGTTTAGCTTTTCCGAGCTCGTCCACAAATGGGTTTCGGGCACAAACCTCAAGGCGCTCCGGATCCAGTCGCATTTGCCCGTATGTGCCCGCGATGCCATCACAGCAACCCGTGCTCAAATAAGTGATGTTAACAGCCCTCTACCACCTTCACACATACCATTGACAACATTATCGGAAACTTGTGCGGCAAATGTCATCATCAACCTATTATAATGTCGTCATTTTAAAACTCCGGAAGACATTCCCCGGACAATGTCAACACTGACCGGCGATTGTCCACATGAACCGACTGTCGACATTAACCGTAACACATGCATACATTTAGACCTGTGCAGAACATAAAGAAGTGTACCCCACCTTGTTCTCGACTGCTTGCAGGTTGCGGTTAAGCTGCCTGAAGCGCTCCACCAAGGAAAGGCTGAGCACAATGACGAACAGATCCCCGAAGTTCCAGGCAACCGTGCAGAAAATGTTCATCAAGGGGACGAACGCCGCGTTCCACGGTCCATACTCTGCCACGGGTAGCATCTGAATGCAACGCATCGGTAAGGAGTAACGAAAAACACAACATGAACTCAGGAAAAGAGTGACCACTTCGTAGCTCGCAGTTTCCGAGTGCTATGTTTTATTATCATGGTCCACCACAATACTACACGTGACCTCACGTTGAATGGAATTGCCTTCGACTCAAACGTATCCGCACCACTGAGAACATTGTGGTTGTCACATTAAAACGGTTTCAAGTCTCCCGTTAAGGACATTGTTGTCACCCCCATCACTGGTAGACAAGAATGTACGAAACAGGTCTAGCCAATAATTGGCCTGGAACGTCTGTACTCTACAAACTCTATGCGTGTACAGATGCATACTTGGAAGTACACACCTATAGATGCGACAGATGCGTACTTAAGTGAGTACACATCTACAGATGCACACTTAGCTGAGTACACATCTACAGATTCATACTTGGCTGAGTACACACCTACAAACGCATACCTAACTCATCCAAGTATGCATCTGCAGACGTGTACTCATCTGAGTATGCATCTGTAGATGTGTACTCATTAAAGTATGCGTCTACAGACGCATACTTTAAACACACTTTAGTTTGTAGAGTACCTACCACAGCACGGACCTTCTGTACCCCTTTTCCGTACCCGATTGCATGAGTTCACATGGAACAAGGACGGATATTCTGTACAAAATTCTTCCGTACATGTTCCGTACAAATGTACGGTAATTTTTTGCAGTGATGCGATGTCAATACTAGCTTTAAAAAAAATGTTATCACATTGTGATGAAATTTCCCTTTAAGTACCGTGAAACGGGGTAACTTCGGACACTTTTGATAGGTTTTTTTGAAATTGGGAAAGTTGTGGTGCTGTCATGGACTTGAGGGTTAAAATGTATCATCCACCCACCTTTAGCTTCGTTTTGGCGCTTATTTCAAATATCTGCACCTCACCGTTTTTCCAGTGGAGGGTCCGAAGCAGTGTCCGAAATTACCCCGTGTTTTGGGGTAATTTCGGACACCCCTGGAAAAAACGACTTTTCGTTCTGATTTTGGTCCCAAAATCGATCACTGTCTCTTTCTAAAGTGCTAATATGATTATATGAGAAATTCGCAAGGGTTTAGATGTAAAGGTAAGGTAGGGGTGGTCATTCATACATAATTTGAAGTCATGTTTTTGCACTCATATGTAGTTCGATTTCAGGAATAGTGGGTGGAACTAGTAGATCCATTTAGAACGCTTCTATTTTTTAATTTTTGACCGATTAGCTTTCATAGGCAACTCGGGCGGGCCATACTTTATTGCGCGAAAGTGAATCTTAAATCTTCCTCTACAAGATTACATACGATCACATACATGCATATGAAGGGCAAGTAGTCGTGTCGTATGTACGGTTAGGAAGATACAGGGGCTCAGTGGACAGCTTTGCATTTCAATTGTAGTAAACTGGCGAGCTATGCAGCCATTCGCCAAGTCCAACTCTCATGTCACTTGAAAGAAAATTAATCGCAAAACAGTCGTTGACCTAAGGTAGGACATGCACATAAAACCAAGTATTATTGATGTAGCTTTGCCCCATTTTTATGAAATTCGAAGTTTACAAAGCAACCGCAGTAACAATTAGGGATTATCGTTGTTATTGGATTATCTTCAATTTTCAGAAGAGCTCTTCAGCTTCCACCACTCAAACCTTGCGAAATTGAAAGTGTTTCGGACATACCCACTCTCCCTGGCGTGACGTTTGTGTGTCCGAAATTACCCCGTAAAGTAACATTTTTTTAGTTTTGAGCCCATATAAACCTAGGTGATTGAAAATTTGCAGTAAGCTCTTAACATGATTGAATCGATAAACAATCACCTCATGAACCGGCCATGAACAGTTTCGGCTTGCCAGTCAAAGTTTTTACGCATAAAGCGAATTTAGGTAAAAATGGTTAAATACAAAAACCACTCTTTCTCCTGAAGTTTGCCCCTGATTTGGCCTCCGGGTGATTGATCAGATGGTTTTAAGTGTGGCCGATGCGATGCGCGCAACGGGACAAGCCTCGAAGTTGGCCGTTAGATGGGAGCATCATCGCCATGCTTCCGGGCAGAGTTGTCCGAAATTACACCGAGTGTCCGAAATTACCCCGTTTCACGGTAATGAAAATATCTTCTACTAGTTTTACGTGTGCGTCACCGTCACAAGTCACCCTCGTGCGTCACACTCAAACGAAAACCACACCAATTTTCAACACTTGGTCGAGGGACATGCTTTGCCGGTCGCCTACCACGCCAAAGTTGTTGATGCTGTAGCCGCGGATTAGTCCGGCGAAGCCAGTTTCCTCAAAACACGTCCAGGAGATGAACCCCGTTGCCATGACGTACAATGTGTGCTGCACTGGAAGACATAAGTACTGAACTTTTGACATATGGTTGCATCACACGTCCCGATGCGTCCCGAAAATGCCCTGAGCCACTATGCATGGGAGGGCATTGCCGGCATTGAAACTCACGTGCCATGCAAAATCATTGCACTAATTGGTGTAGAGAAAACTAGGATGGTCTCATACTGAGTTTTTCTTTAATAACTTATTGACGGTTGTGCGCATTACTACACTGTGGCAAAAAAGTACGGAAAATTCTGTTATTTTTTTTTTGCCAGGATTCTCCGTAACCCTCTTATCAATATTCTCCGTAGGCTCTTACAGTATTCTCCGTAGGGCCGTACAGAATTCTCTGTAAGTCCACACAGTCTTCTCCGTAGGACCTGGAAGACTGTATAGTCCTACGGAGATCACTGTAAGGTCCTACGGAGAATACTGTGCGGTCAACGGAAAATGCTGTAAGAGCCTTACAGAGAATATTGATAAGGGGGCTACGGAGGATTACCACAAGCTGTTTACGGAATTTTCCGTAGCTTTTTGCCACAGTGTAAGCGTATTGACATTTTTGTCCGTTTGACTAACATTATTATCAATTTCGTCGTAACAAATTCTTATCAAAACTATATTAATGCGCACAAACGTCGATGAATACTGATAAAATGTCGATTGAAAGATGAGAGTGTACAAATCCATGGCACCATGTGACACTAAACTTATACAGGGGTTGGAGTCTCAGTGTAGCCTGTTCGGTAGAAGACCGGATGGGCCTGAAAGGCTAGCAACAGCAATGACCCTCCTACCTGACGCCACCAGCAGGGTTGCGACCGTCAAGATGGTGATGTTCCTGCCCAGATGTCGCGGGTAGCCGTAGTCACGCATGTTGTATTCCATGCGAGCCCACGCCATCGCCAGGCCGGGCCACTGCGTGGCGAGCTGCAGAGACAACGCCATGGCGGACACCGAGACGCCGTAGAACGCCACCGACTCTGCAACAACCGCGAGCGGTTACTCATTCGTTACTTGGGTTGCACGCACCCACAATTCCCAAACTAAGCGGTGTTACGCCTGTTGCGCCGATCCGCGCCTGTGGCTTATTCAGTTAACGAGTCCGACATCCCACCGACTTACGACCGACGTAGGACCGACTTTGTACCGACTTTCAGCTGCCTCTCGTGGAGGGGGCAATCTTTATATATTCAAAGTAATGGGTATTTATGAGTTTTCACACTGAAGGGCGACCTTAAAAACAATCAATCCAAGTAAAAGGAAGTAAGCACCGAAAACAAGGATGGCAAAAACAGGAAATCCAGCGGGCGACCCCAGCTGAAAGTCGGCACGAAGTCGGTCCTACGTCGGTCGGAAGTCGGTGGGATATCGGAACTCGTTAACTGAATAAGCCACTGGCGGCGCCTTAGAATGTCGCGCTAAGCTGCCTTCGGCCTCTTACTCAGAAATTGAGACATCTGACACAAGTATTTTCAAAATGCCAAATAGCAACATTTTTCACTGTACAATAACTTTAATAGTGTGCAACTCTCTTCTGCTTGAAAGTGTGACACGCGGTTTGTCCCACCTTTGTAATCGTCGAACGCGTGGCACTGAACCAGAAATAGTATGGGCCCAATGAGCACTTGCAAGCGTGAGAAAACCCTGGTCCTCAAGAGGAAGCGCTAGTCATTTTGGTTCAGGGCAAACAGCACGAAACTACCCTACACTTGGATTAGCAGTGAAAGCAATGTACCAACCTATACCGTCGAAGGACAGGCCAGCACTGAGCACGCTGTAGACAGTGAGTAGCGTCAGGAAGCTTGTGGCCGTCAGCACAGTGACGGTGTAGAGGGCGCGGAAGGAGAGCCAGCGGAAGACAGGCAAGCGAGGCTGGCGGCGGGAGACGCCCACCACGGGCATCAGCCCGAAGCACTGCGCCGCCAGCAGTGGGAACAGCATGGCGCCGTGGAACGAGTCCCGGTGCGCCGAAGCCAGCGGCCACGACCCCGACTTGGGGCTGTGCATGGCATACACCGCACCCAACTTGCCCGTTTTAAAATACGAGTCCAGTTTCACTTCCTTTTTAGACATGGCTCGTGGAGTGAACTGAGCTAGACTGGTGAGAGTCCTGATTTGGACCTAATTGGACCTGATAAAGGAAAGTTCCGACCTGCTCCCGTACCTGCATCACCGGCTTTTCGCTTGTTCTTAATCCAACCAAAACATGCCAGAGTGGATGAAACCGTCGTCAAATTCGGAGTGGTAATCTGTGTACGACAACTGTCATATGCATCGTTTGTATATCTGCTGAAAACCAGACGTGACGTGTCGTTCTGGTTAGCAATCGGCGCTATTCGGAGCCCCTCGAACGCACCGAAAACAATGGTGATTTTCGGGGCTGAAACAGGGCCCTTCAAAATAGAACATAGAAGTGCGTTACAACTCGTATGAGGGGTTCTATTTGTCAATATTGTTTTTCTTACATATCCTTACGAAGATCTGGTCCAGTAACTACTTTGCAGTGCTGGTTAGGTGCGCATTCGCGACTAATAGGACACTGGGCGTGTTCTAGGAATGGACCGACGTTGTGGACTCAGTACACGCTTCAGCAGCTCTGTGAGCCCACATCTTCCCGCTGTTGCTACAACGATGCTTCCAGGGGGCTGCAACGCCAATA